TATTTAAATGGCATACTCCTGAATATAACCAATTTCAAAAACGTGGTATCTTACTTGAGTAATATACTTAAAACATGTTCATGAAAAGAATACCAGGGGCCTTAAAGGAGATTTAAACAAATGAATGGGAAAAATTAAAAACAAAAATAGGACAAGCAGAAACTGTTAAACTGAAATAAACTCTCTTTAAAACACACCCCCCCTAGCATTTTAATCTTGACATACTTAGTATCTTCTCAGATCACCATCTTAGGTTCTCCTGGCATTAATGCACATTTTGCAGTGTTCTTCCTGGCCTGTGGGAACACATTCATGTTCATGCCTGCTCAGCAGACATGTTTGCGCACTGCGCGATGCTAGGCGCTCTTTTGGAACTTGGCACATCTATGTTCTAGGGCAGATACGTACTTGGAAAGACTGATAAAATAAGACAATTCAGGGGTTGAACTTCAAGCTGAAAGTCATAGCTTTATTTCTCCCAGAAAGAAAAAAAAATCAATTTTATTATGAGCCTTAAACAGAGCACAGAACTATCGGTTCAACCTTCTGCTGGTAACTCCTACCTCTGAAGAACTTGGGCTACCAACAGGAATTTGAATCTTCTATATCTATCTTAACTTTCGATGACTTACTAATCTACTAGAATTTAGGGGGTATCCTAGAATCCCTTGGCTATTGGTTCTCAGCTAATCCTACTTCTCTTTCTTTTAAGCTACTTACTCATCAAAAGCTTTTGTGACATCCTTTTGATCTAAATCTATCAAATCCAGTCTTCCTTGTTATTCTTGTGAATGAAAATTAAGGTTAGGGGCAAGAGTGAGGCTTATTTACCAAAAATCTCTTACCAGTTGTGGTTTTCAGTGAAAAGATTCTAATAGGCTTTAAAGAAAATTTAAATCGTACAAACAAGCAGAAAAAGTAAGGATATATGGCATTTTTATTATTTGAACCATTTCCATTGAAAACTGAACATAACACACAGATAATGCTAGAAGGAGTTAGAATTTCCTAAGAGAGAATAGAAAAACATGGTGTATTTATCACTGACCTATTTAAACAGATCCTATAAAGCTATCCCTTGTAATCTTTGCCACTAAATCATATTACTTGATCATTTCTTATTACTCATTGCATATTCTAGGCTCTTCATCCTCTTTAGGGTACTGTGACATACTAAAACTATGGAACAGTTCATTTGTGATTTTGTTCTTACTTATGCAAGTGTTTTCATGTTCTCCAATTATCTCCAACTTTCTTCACTCTATTACAGTTTTTGCTGACGCTATTTTCATAGATGGCTAATTCTAAATTAAGCCATTAATGTGGTCCCTTGATTTCTTACAAGGTAAAAAAGGTCTTAGTTGGTAGTAATATGTGTAGTATCATTTAGTCATTTCTTAAATTCATCAAGAATTTTCATCTATCCTTGTTGAACAGCCTTAGTCTTCAAGGCTGCACTATCACCACTGTTCCAATCAACGGTTCCAATTTTGGTATCTAGTTTGCCTGCAGGAGAGCATACAGGTAGTTACACAGAAGCCTATGAGGCCCTGAGGATGCACAGCAGTAGCTTCCATTATTTAAAAGCATTTTGGTCAAGTATATTAGTTTCCTTTGAGCCCTAGTTTCTTAAATAATTTAATAATTTTATAATGTATTCAATGGATAGAAATAGTATCATCTATTTCACAGAATTGCAGTTATTTTAAGAGCTACCATATGTAGGCCTACCAAACACCTAGGACAGAAACTGGTAAGATGGTCAACAGTCTGCACATATTTCTTGGGTACCTACTATGTGACAGTTACTTCCTTTCCAACCTCATAGATCAAATTCATAGCATCTATAAATTAGTCTTATATAAATTCTTCTTCATTTGTATTTCACTTACTCTCAAGAAACAGAAAGTATTAAAAATAAAGTTTTCCACAGAACATTTGAGGATAACTGAATTGTTAGTTAAGTACTGCTCGTTGGGGAAAACAAATATTCTATTTACTTTCACAACTCATAGTCTCTCTGGAAACACTAATAAAAATATCCTAGAGACCACAGAAGAAGGGGGTGTGGACTTGACAATATGGGTGAATGCTGAAACCAGTGTTATTTATGTGAAACCATCGTAAGACTGTATGTCAATGATACTTTAATAAAAAAAGATATGCTAGACAGTCCAAATTAATGGACTTGATTAATAACTTATGAAAGTATTTTACATTAATACAAAATCTGAGGGATTCTATTATCCTGCACCCATTTCAGATCAGTACTTTTAAATCCTTGTAAGACATGTTCATAACAATCTTACTAAAGCACCCATTACAAATAATACTGGTTTACCTTTGATTGACAAGTATTATCTACTTTCCTTCTGATCTCCAGAGGAATCTTTCACATCTTATCCAGGACATGCAAACTTCCTGTGTAAGGGCACCACATCTCTCCCTCCAACCACTCATCTCAATGTCCTTTCCTGCTAAGCTCTCATTCTCTCTTGAGGTCCTTCCATATGGAATACTTGCAAATATTCCATATGGTTGGTCTTGGTATTTAAGTAGAAACCAAAGCCATGTGTACCTCAGATAATTTTTATTACTGAAGCCAAATAAAATCCACATAAGTAATAAAAATTGTTATGTAAAAAAGGTCTGAAAAACCCAATGAAGTGGGTACATTTCCAGAGCAAATCCAAATACATCTCAAAATTTATAGGATTATCAAGTAAGAACAACCATTAAAGACTCTACTCTCTACATACAATTATTACTGTCCAATATCCAAAAATCTGCTTCTTGTGATTTTTCTATTGTTTATATAACTTGTTTTGTCTTTAGAGTAAATCAAAGCATTCAACAGGGAAAACCATGTGCTGTTTAACCCCATCTACTTTAATTCTGACACATGCTAGAAGAAAAGTACTCAACTGTTTTTTTAAATAAAAAAGAAAGACCCAAGGACTAACTAAAAAGACAAATCTATAGATAAAAGCTTTCTTCTAGTGGAAGAAACCACAGTAACATTTTATAAGACATAGGATAACTTAAAACTTCAGCAACTAAGAAATCTTCTAAGGACTCAAACCTGATACTCAGTATTTTTACCATGAATTCTAACAAAGGAAAGCAAAGCAAACAAGGAAATGGAAGTTCAAAGTTAGAGCTGAACAATTTTCTAAAATGACTACTCTGCCAAAATAAAAATTCAAACAAGTAAGATTCACAAGGTCCAAATTCTCTTCTAAAGCAATCTAAGTTCTATCCATAACATTAAACTTCCCTAGGAAATTTTAGAATTTTTTGACATTTACAATGACTTATTTAAATACTTAGGAGAAAAACGCATACCATGTATATACCAGTTTGTACTTATAAGCCTTACAATAAGTATAAAGAGACAATGCCAGGAGACCATTGCTTTTAAAAGTCAGTTATTTTAGAATAGCTGGCCTCCCAATAACTTCAAAGAGCGCAGAGTGCTCCCTCAAAGACGCATCATGACATAAATGCTTTAGATACAATAATCCAAATTTTTTATTCGAAGGCCAAAAAGATCTTATTTTCCCAGGTACAGACTGTGTTCAGCTACAAAGCCTTCTGAGGACCACGTGTTTTAAGTCACATGTGAAGTGCAGTGTAATAATCACAAAGTCTGTAACCACTAAGCCCTCTTGGCAACGTTACTCAAGAAGATCTGGTACTTTTTTTCTGGACAAGGGTAGGCAAGTTGATCCTGGTTTTTCTCTTCAATTCAGCAACTAGACCAGGCTCTTACAGTGTTTAAAGGGGACTCTTCAGTGTAGGCATTCATCACAGTTTTTTGGTGTTGACATTTCCAAAATAAAAAACAGGGAGGGAGAAGCAGGGGAGAGAAATAGGAAAGAAAAGAAAAAGGAAGAAAGGGAAAGGAGACAGGGAGGGGGAGAACGGGCTTTGGAGTCAAACAGATCAGAGTGAGAATCTCAGCTCTGTAATTAATTCATTAGCAGTGTGACCTTGGCGAACCCTACATCCCTCATCTGTGAAGGTGGAATAGTGGTTCCCCTATTAAGGGACAGGTGGGAGAGCTGAATGAGGGAACACATGGAGAGCGCTTAACAGAATGCCTCACATGTAGAAAGTTATCAAGATGTTAACTACTCTGTATAATTATTATTTTTATTGTAATCAAATAAGTTTGTCAGTTTAATGAGCTTACGCTACTTAGAAGATATTCAGCTCTTCAACATGATATACTCTTTGCAAAACTAATAAAAATAACTGAGGTCAAGAAAGATACTGTTTTCAATAAATATTTTCTGGGAATTTGCCATCGTATAAGGCACTAAGAGCATAGACCCAAGAGCCAGAAGGGCTGGCTTAGAATCCCAAATCTACCACCTGCTGTTTGTGAGACTGAGCATGTATTTACCCTGGGTCCCAGTTTCTGTCTGTCAACTGGGGATGACAATATATGACAAAAGACCCTTAGGGATGTGGTGAGGATTAAATGAATTACTATACATAAACTGCTCAGGATAGTGCCTGGCACTTGGTATGTGCTATGGAAGTGTTAAGTTGGATTTAGTTGTTATTTTCACCAGGAAATTCACCCCCAAACTGGCCATTGTTAAACCCATCATAGGAGACTATGACTTGGAAACTCGTGAGCTCTAAGTCTGAACTACAGTCTTACCTTGCTACTTACCAGTTCTCTATGTACACACTCCTGGTCATCTACCTGTACAGATTCTGCATATCACAGCACACTATCTGCTAAGTCACTGGCAAAATCTGAACACACATTATAACGATGTGTACTTGCATGTGTGCACCAAGCTTACAGTGATGGTCTCTGGAGGGTAGGAATGTGATGTGTTTACTTTTACTTGACTATATTTTCTAACTTCCTGTCATGCACAAGTACAGCTTCTATAATAATAAAAGGTTGTTCAAAAATTTGGCAATGAAAGAAACACTTCTTGTATTTGTCTAAGAAAAAAAAAACCCCACAAATTTCATACCTGTATTTATGAATGATGGCATTAAATAGTTTTCCATCTCTCCAGCAGGTAGTGAAATTTTCACACCGTATTCCAGCATAACCGTCTACTGCCTGCTGTGTCCACAGTAGCAATCTCTCTTTTGCAGACATATCCTCTGATTCTCCAGTAATGTGGATATCAGATATCTAAACATAACGGAAAGCATTAGGAAGGAAACTCACTCAGATTAAGAACCTACTATGTGCGAAGCGCTATGTTAATTAATCCTCTTAACTCTCACCTGTAAGCTAAGTAAAGTTACCCCATTTGATGCAGAGGGAAACCGAATTTCAGAAAGGTTAATAGATTGAAAGGTCAGATTTAACCCAAGCGTCTAATTTTTTTTATTATACCAAAACATCACAGCATTGAAAAATCTGCATTCCTCTTTTATAATCAGATCTGTTAAAATAAGAAAATCCTTTTCCAATTTCAAATGAAACCTACAAATTAATCTACATTACCAACTCTGGAGCAGAATTTGATCCAATAGGTATTCTGTATAAGAACAAAAAAGGAAAATAATACCTTCCCCAATTAACTAACAATCTGGCCTAAAGTCTCTTTCATTTTCTCAGGAGCCCTTGTTCAGATTACTTAACATGAAACCTTTATCATCTGATTTTTTTCCACATACTTTGTTTTCATTAAATCTTCTAAAAGTCTCTTTCATTAAACAATAACAAAACAGGCCACCAATTCACGTGGTTTACATTTTCTCAAGAACTTCTTTGTTAAGGGTCCTACTTAATTAATCTGCTGATAATGATGTTAAGGCACAAAGTAACTTTACCAGGGGTCACACAGTAATTCAAAAACTGGGATTAATACCAATAAACAACTGTTCCCTCAATCAGTGCCTGACCCAGGGCCAAGGAATCAAGAAGATGGGAGGCAAGCCAGGATCAGGATGAGCAAATAAAGATTGGAAGCCAGACATCGGAAGGCACGAGTCATTTTATAACAGGAAAAAAAAAATTCACTAAAGTCATGAGATTGGCCTCTAGTCCTGGCCACTAGGCCCATAGCTTTGAACAGTGCATTTCAAGTCGGTGAGTCACTCCCTCATCTATAAAATGAGGAGGTAGGAGGTACAAGCAGATAATGTTTAAGATTCTTTTCAGTCTAAAGTCTTACGAAGAGACTGCTAATACAACACAGAAGACAGAGATTAAATCAGGCAGAGTCAAACAACTGAAAATAGAAAATAAAAATTTTTAAAACCGGCCAAAGACAGCCTTTTACATGTGGTAATGCCAGGCTTAAACAGGAAGCCCTTTATTCCTGGCAGCTGCCACAAGAGCCAGAGGCACGGGCACCCCAGGGACCGGGATCAGGAACACTGCCGCAGTCAAAGCCAGTGGGCCTGGTAAGCCCCGAAATAACACCTGCAGATAACGGCAGGGACCACAGCACCCTTTCTCCTGCACTCAGGCAGAGGCCACCATGCCCTGGGAGCCCACTCTCAGCCATAGTCTGAGACGTGCTCCTTGACAAACGGCCAGGATTTGACAGTGGAGCAAATATAACCATCTTCCCCAGAAATCCGTGCTCATCGTCACAGCGTGGAAAAAGAACTGTGTGCATGAACATGTTATGCAGTGTGCATACGAAGGATTTTCTTTCTTTTTTTTTTGTAATGTGGGGAAAAAAAGAGAACAGAAAAATCACCAGTATTCTGTCGCCCAACTTCCAGCTGATATTCCGGGCTAAACTTTTGCTGAAGGGCCTCTGGCACATCTGGGAAGTCTAAATCTCATCTCCACCACATAAGACCATTCCGTCACGTGTAAAATGATGATGATAACAGCTATTAGGCGGTATTGTGGGATTTCCACAATGTGAGCGCAGTGTGGTGGCTGGCATGCAGTTAAGCACAGGCTCCCTTCGTCAGCTATTTTATTGCTGTGGTTATTATCACGCTTTCTGACAAAAGGCGAAGCAAAAGCCCGGCTTTACGACTCTCCTAATTCTGTTCCTGTCGCTAGGACTGGAAAAGTTTTAAAATGTGCTGCCTCCAACGACTCAAAATCTATGAAACAAAGGTTCAGAGAAACTAACCCAGGAAACTCTGTAAATTAAAGAGTTGAAACTCGAGGTAAAATTTCACAACTAGGTAAAGGTCCCTCTTAGTTTTACAGATGATAAAATCAACTGCTTTTGGGAATTGTTAAACAAAGGCAGGTGTTATAGGGATGGTATAACGAAAAGGGAGAGAGCTGGGAGCGGCAGGACTATTTTCTGCTGGGTCAAGAAAAATCCATGCCAGTCAGTCCAGTCACAAAAGTCACTATCTGTTAACAAGGGAGGTCAGTAAATTTCAACTACATGGTAAATGTAATAGGTTTTACTGCTACACAGCATTTCACCCAAGGCAGGATATTAAAGGAAGAGGAGCTTAGAGGTCTGAAAATGGTCTCATCAACCAATAGGAAATAATATATTCGTATTCAGTGTTTCCAATACATGAATTTCAGGTCGTTCCTCACACACACAATTTCAGACTGTTACCCATGCATACACTATTTTAAAAACTGTGATTTTAAAATGTATATTCAAACATGTTATAAATCAAATTTTTAACACGTTAACCATTTTCAGAGTCTCTTGCTATTTCCAATGGACGCTCAGGTATTTTTTTAAATACACAGTTACCATTAGCTACTATATGAGAATATCAAACTTTTCATGATACCATGCAGCCAAAACTAAAAAGAAAAATAAATTCAATGCCAAAAATTCTAAGTTTGCAGTTGTCATCCATAACACATATTCAAAATTCAGCAAAACAGCGTGAATCCTTCATCTATGACAGGTCAGGTCAGACAGGAAGTATTCAAGGCTCCTCCCTCCAAGTCCTGGAGGCCAGACAGAGATCTGAGGAGGTTTCAGTTCCTGCTGCTTGCGTTCAACTTCCAGCTCCAACAGTTAACAGGATTATGACCCAGAGCCACTCACATAATCTCTCTAAAATCCATTCTTCTCATTTTTAAAACTTAAATGATCACATAATAATTTCTACCTCCTCAAGTGGTTCTAAAGATAAGACAAAATAATCCACATGGAGTGCTCAGCAGTGCCTGGTAACAGAAAACTATAAATGTTAGCTTCTCCCACCACGATTTTATTAGAACTATCTGCTGCTTAAGGCTTCTCACCAACAATCTGTCAGCATCAAAACAAACAAAATACTTTAAACCAGAGTTCCTTTTGGAAACTCGAAGCCCTCGTGCCTCACATCGAGCTCACTGTTGCCTACCACCCAGAGTCAAGTTTTTCCGGTCACTGAGCCTCTCATGCCCCCATTTCATCTCTCTTGACCCACCCCCCACCACTCCTAAGCTTTCTAGAAATATCTATTCCATGGTAAACAAAGTCTCTGACATCTTCAAAATCTTACACTGCCTCTACTTTTTTACTGAACCAGGTCACCCCCACTGCATTAATGCAAATCCCAGACACCACTAGGCTCCCAGGCCAGGCAAGTGCATTTTAACTCCCTCAATGAGGCAAAACCAATAGCGTTCAAACTACTCCCTGTGGGTGTGAAGACCTCACTTTTACACTGTAGGCCACTCTTGCACTGCCATCTCCCTCTCCTCCACATACCCCGAATATCTGACACTTACTGTGTTCCTATCTCCACCTCACACCCCATCCCACAGACCTGTTTTCTTTTCCTTTCAGCCGTTCACACACCTACTGCTACATCCTGGATCTCATCACCTTGAACCACAGCCAGTCCACCTCAGATATTTGACCTCTGCTACCAATTTCCTGTTCTACCACTTTCAGTCCCAAACATTGGCTAAACCTATTGTCTGGTTCCATCAACACCTCAAGCAACACCTCACATTCCTGACTTGACAAATTTTGTCCCAGTCTATGAGCCTGTTCCTATCTTTACCTCCTTTTCTGTCTGGCCCTCCTGCACACTCCACCACTTCAACTAATACTACGTATTTTCCCTTATCCCTCTTGACAGAGATGAGACAACACACAATGACTGAAACCCTCATTATCGGCACTAAGAGAAGATGGTATGTCCAACTATGGAAGAGGGTCCTGGAGCGTAGAGGGTGTAGACAGAGGGAGAATTCAAACACAAGAAATAAAGCCTGACCCCAACTCACACAGTTCTGACTGCGGCAATCCCAGACATGTGCCTGCTCATGGTTTATTCACAATGCGTTTTATTTCATTGTGAGGGTCTGACCAAATGCCTCAGGAAAAGTGAACGATAGTCTAATCAAACAGCTTGGGGACACCATAAATACCCAAAAGCAACCCGAATCCTTTGTTTCTGCAATCTGGGGGCCAGAGAAAACAGGACTAGAACTCTCAGAACACAGAACGATGAGTTTCTCCAACTCTTCTGTGTGTTGACTAATCTTGCCAAACACACTCATCTACTAGTTTTCCACATTGCTAGGCAAGAAATAAGCACCTAATCGTAACAGGAGAAGAGAGTCTTACATCCTCATTCCCTCGTTTCCCACTACAAACTACGGAGTTGATGACTATTATCTTTAGTCTGGACCATTACCTCTTGACTCCAATGTCAGTACAAACTGTCATGATAGACCTAGAATAATACTGGCCCAAGAAAGCTTCCACTTTCTTCTGGAACTAAGCCTCACTGACATTAGCAACCGCCTCCTCACGGCTCACAGCCCTCTCCTGCCCCACTCTCACTTCCCCATCACGCGGCTCCTGATCGGCAGCCACAGCAACCCAGTTCACCCCCTGCCGGCCGCTCCAGACTCAAGCTATTCCCTTTCTACTCCATGACCAAGCCTACGTCAAACCATGTGAATTACATGCTCCCTCTCAACTAGGGTCCTCTGCTCAAGCTGCTTCTCCCCTTGGAATGTTCTCCTTATATTCTTCCCAGCATGACATACATTAAGCGCTCAATAACTATCTAAAGAGGAGTGGGAGACAGAGAGGAAGAAAAGGAGGGAAGAGAAGGAAGGGAGGAAGGAAGGGAGGGAGGGAGGGAGGGAAATATCAGAGACACATTTCAGGTTTTCATTTGGTATGGATGAGTTTTAACCCCTCATGTGAAACTTGTCATTTCAGAAAAGCAAATGGTTTCCAACTAACCTCACTTTCCAACAGTACAAAATCCCCTGGCCACTGCACA